ACCTCTTCTGGAAGAGTACTCGAATTGAAAATCTTGATTCGAAGGCTGTGGAAGAGAGCCAAATTCATATGTTCGTTCCACTGAACAATTCATTATTCCGTCAAGAAGCTGGAGGTCTGAGAGAATTACTAGTGTACACTTTGCACAAATGGAAACATTTCAGACGAGCGACGCTAATACCAGATTTTCGGAGGAGTTATTACAATTGACACTTCTGTTTAATGTTATATACTGCTCTGCCGTACAAGTTTATTTAGGTGTGACCGCTTTATTGTTTGAAGGTTTCGAACAAATCGTCGTCTTCATGAACCTGAAAATTGATCGTATGATGTAAGTACGCTTCACACGAATGTGAACAACAACGAAGCTCTGCGTTCCTGAAAGCTGGGTGAGCTGGAGCAGAAACTGTGACGATTAGATTGAGTAAGCTTCACGCTATGGCTATGATGAAATGACTGAATCAATATTTTCGAGTTGAACGAGCAGTGATCCTCCAAAATCTGCGATGCGGGCGGTTGCCGTTAGCCCCGGCAGTAAACATGCTTTGTCAGCAGAATAGAAACGCCAGTTATAACACGCAAGCCTATGATGTACTGCCGGTATATCGGTGACTGCCGCGCAATTACATAAACGCAGCATGGATGAATTATTTGGCATTCTTGAACGACAGTCACAGTACATGTTCACAAGAGAAGTTCAGCATGAAGGTTGTCCGAGCACGCAGATAAACACCTCAGGTGTAGGTATAGTGTAATGGTATCGGAAAAACAGCTGACAGCGACTCGCCTTTTCATTATCAGTGGATTGCTCCTTATCGCCCACTGGCACTTGAGTGAGTTCCTGATTTGTGGCCTCATAAAAAATCGTTGTGACGAGATCCTCAGAAAATGTTACATTTTTCTTCAAAGATTCACCACTCGGCGTGAAACAAGACCGTAAAGTTGATAAATGCTTCTGTACTGAATTCAACGAAGACAGTGGAAACGCTTGTTGTGAAGATCCACAGTCACCACTACTTATAGGTTCATGCGATAACGGAACAAAAGAGCGTGTCCGATTATCGACTTTCCCCTTCCCATTTCCTTCTTGTTTACTGCAATCCACTTCATGTCCGTGTTGTTTCGCAGATGGCATCTCGACTCTGCTCGCGGAACAACCGGACGGTTGCCTTTCTTTGTGATGGGCTGGAAATGAGCTTGAATCAAATCCGATTGAGTCTCGTGCACTTTTCCTTAGGGTCTTGGTTTTGCAGGTTGTTCCTTGCGACAGTTCGTCCAAATTCCACTTTCCCTGAAAAGCAGTCTTTTAAAGCGGAATCTAAATTGTCATACGGAAAGTTACCTCTTCTGGAAGAGTACTCGAATTGAAAATCTTGATTCGAAGGCTGTGGAAGAGAGCCAAATTCATATGTTCGTTCCACTGAACAATTCATTATTCCGCCAAGAAGCTGGAGGTCTGAGAGAATTATTAGTGCACACTTTGTACAAATGGAAACATTTCAGACGAGCGACGCTAACACCAGATTTTCGGAGGAGTTATTACAATTAACACTTCTGTTTAATGTTATATACTGCTCTGCAGTACAAGATTATTTAGGTGTAACCGCTTTATTGTTTGAAGGTTTTAAACAAATCGTCGTCTTCATGAACCTGAAAATTGTTCGTATGATGTAAGTACGCTTCACACGAATGTGAACAACAACGAAGCCCTGCAGTTTCTGAAAGCTGGGTGAGCTGGAGCAGAAACTGTGACGATTAGATTAAGTAGGCTTCACGCCATGGCTCTGATGAAATGCTGAATGAATATTTTCGAGTTGAACGACAGTGATCCTCCAAAATCTGCGATGCGGGCGGTTGCCGTTAGCTCCGGTACTAAACATGCTTTGCCTGCAGAATAGAAACGCCAGTTATAACACGCAAGCCTATTATTTACTGCCGGTATATCGGACACTGCCGCGCAATTACATAAACCAGCATGGATGAGGATTATTTGGCATTCTTGAACGACAGTCACAGTACATGTTCACAAGAGAAGTTCAGCGTGAAGGTTGTCTAAGCCCGCAGATAAACACCTCAGGTGGAGGTATAGTGTAAAATGATATCGGAAAAACAGCTCGAAAATTATCTCATTCCACGCGAAGCCTGCCCACCCTGTATCTGCTAAATGTGTAGTTCTTTGTGATATGCACGAAACAGCGCAGTAGTTTCTACAGGTGAAAGGTAACGGGATGGGCCACGTCAACTGGCATCTAATATTGCAAAGTTTAATGGTTATCAGGCAAAATACGGAAGATTGGGCTCACAAAAGAACTCCAAAAATCTTGGAATTTTGCGATTTCCGGCTCCCTTTTATATCGAACCATCGGCGCAGAAATCCCACAGTCCCAACATATCTCACACGAGCGTATTCGGCTGATAATGCCGTCGATAAACCTACTAGGAGACAATTTAGACGTCAATCAAACCACAGTAGGCTTTATGACCATGCATGTCCTACGGATAACTGCGCCATTTGTCCGTTTGGAAAACATTCAGAAACAAATGAGGAAGGCCGCTGTATCAAATACATTGTTCGGCCTACGACAGAATATAAGCATCGGTGGGCAGAAATGTCCTGCGACAAAATGGAAGCCATTTTAAACCCTGCCGGGGTTTATGCTCGACCCCCTGCCGCTTCCTCACAGGGCTATCGCAGAGGACCCATTTCCTCTCCAATGAACATCGAGCTGAGAAAGTGGAGCTTCTTTTGGAAAGTGAGGAGAGAAGTGTAGGCGGCCAACCCGAGATGCCATAAGCGGACAGTTTTTCTGAAACCCATTGCTTTGCTACCTCCCATTCCCAGGTGGTAAGGTACGGGTTCTCTTCAAGAGTACTTCCAAATACAACTCCATCGACCTACCCACCTTCGAAGCATCTTCGAGAAAATGATCTCCTTTTAAGGATTTGGCGAACTGAGTCTTGCATGTGTGGTAAGAGATGTCGTCCTCGCCGTATGTTTCACCTAGCTCGGTATAAGCTTCCTTTACATTCCAGTTGAAACCTTGACGCGTAATCAGGCTGAGGCGCAGGTACATTCTGTCACAGTGGTAATTGTACGGTACTGTCGCCTGCATATGCAGGACGGGTGAGTGATAGCTAGTGTGATGAAGGAGTGTTATGCACACGTCACGTATAACGAAATACCAACATCCATGCAAACGAAATACGGAAGGATCAAGCACAGGGAAAAATTTATGTATCAACCTAATATAGTCAAAGCTTATGAGAACAAGGAAGAAGTCACTAGGAAGACACAGAAAGCGTTACATTACACGCGAAAAAATTCAAAGCTGAAGAACCGAAGTGAGTGCTGTTCACAAATTGAGTGGGAGTCAGCGTTGGTGAAAATGCATAAGGTTGGACTTCTTTTGACGTCTGATTTTTCGGGAGATGGTGGAATTAGTTTGGGCGCTTGGTCGAGTAAGCCACAGATCAGGTGCTTCGAACTATTTTCAGGTCTTTGAAGACGACAATTTGTTAATGTAGACCAATAAAGCGCTTCAACCATAATAAACCTGGGGGCAGGGCGTCTGCGAAAGTTGTTTATTCAGACATGGGCGCTTGAAGTTGGTAAGGGTGACGGCGCCTCACAGTCACTGTATTTGTAGGGGGGGGGGGGGGGGGGGGGGGGGGGAGGGGGGGGGAAAGACTTGAATAGTCTC